AAAAATCTGAGATCGATTGATTTTGTCTTTTTCTCTGAGACCCCTCCTCCCCCAACACCCAGCCTAGTACCAGGCCCCAGACAACAACAATGGCCTTCCAATAGAATATTGACGGAGTTGGGGCCTCAAGAGTCGTGGGCCCGACCAACAGTAGACCCCAAAGAACAGAAGTACAGGGGAGATATCGAGGGCTGTGACAGGGACATGACTTAGCCGTGGATGGCTTAGCTGGACCTGATGGAACCCTCCTTCCAGACCCTCTTGCTCCTGGCATCAAGCCCAGCCCTAGACCTGCTAGGAAACAGCCTCAGAGGTGCGGTAGTCATGGACCCAGGCCCTAGAGGCTCTAGGGTAACTTGGGATGTCCCTGCCTTAGTTCAAACATAACAACAAGCCCGAGAGAGCTCTCAGGGGACAGGGTAGAAGGGACACCACCTCATCTCTGTCCTTGAGACCTGACTTAGAATGCCTAGTTTTGGTTTGGGAAAGAAAAGCTGTGTGACCTTGGGTAAGCCACTCACCCTCTCTGGGCTTTGCCGTCCCATCTGGACTGTAAATGTTGGAAGTGCTTTCTGTGGCAACAGCTGCCCTTCCTCTCTGGGTGACCTCATTCCTCCCTCTCCGTCTAAGTGTCTCAGGCAGGACCTACCCTGAAGGGCTGGATGAGGGATGAGGGAGTCCTGGCTGCCCAGAGAAGGGGTGTAGGTCCCCGGTGCCTGTTTTCAGTCTAGCATCCTCTGACATGGCGTTTGTCTTAGCTGTCTCTTATGGATGAAGACAGAGACACCTGTCACACGAGAACCCTCTATCCCCGCCCCCAGCCGCTGGCCACAGAGACCATGGCGCCTGCTATCCGCAGGGACTAGATCACCTGTTTCTAGCTGTGTAGAGAAGGTCTTGAGGGAGGCCCTGGGGCTGCTAAGCTGTGTGATCCCGGGCAAGTGACTCACCTTCTCTGGGCCTCAGTCTTCCTATCTGGAGTCTAAATCTTGTAGGCCTCAGAGAAGTTGTTGGGGAGAGATAAAGCTTTTCCTAGCCCCTCGTCCCGACATCCTGGTGGCTCCGTGGCCTCTGTGAGCTCATTTGACCCGACCCCTCAGGTCCTATCAATCTGCGAGCACCTGAGGTGGTGTGGAGCCTCAGGCAAAGTGTCTTTGGAAGCCCAACCAGGAGGCCTGCCGTTCCATCAGGAGAATGAGAAGGAGGGTGGCAAGTTCAAGGCCAGCTGGATAGAGCCTGACTCAAAATGAACACTAAAGAGGGCTGGTGATGTATCTCGGTGGGAAAGCACTTGCTCAGCGTGCGTGAGGTCGGGTGTGTGTGTGTGTGTTCAAAGTTCAAATCCCAGCACAGAAAAGAAAAGCATCCTCACCCACACGGAAGCCCAAGGGAATCCTAGCAAGCAACAGACAATGGGGTGTAGCCGTTAGGGATCTAATATCCCGAGGTCAGGGGATATAGCCTTTGCCTCCACGTGGGGGGCTGTGGGAGCCACCCCCTGGGGTGTGTGTGGGGAGCAGTGGAAACATCTGGGGCAGCTGAGTAAACAATCATGTATTCCCTCCCTCGCCCCCACGTGACAGGTCTGTCCTCTCCTCTGTCCCCAAGCCTGACACCTGGCCCCCTTTCCCTTCCCCTCCCTTCGGTTGGCTGGCCGCCTTGCAGGCAGACAGACAGGACATTTGTGTGCTGATGAGCGAGCAAGCTGTGGCTGCGCGCGTGTGTTTGCACTGAACGCCGCGAGCTCCGTCTGGCACATCCTGAGGCGTGCCTACATCACGCTGGGTGTTCTGGGGTGTCGGCCCCGGTCACACCCCACTGGCAAGTTTAGAAGACTGCTCTCTGGCAGGGGATGGGGGTGGGTGAACTGCAGGGGGGGAGGGGTCGACGCCCCTCCCCTCTGCCCGCCGAAGAATGGAGAGTGGTTTTTTACATTTTCCAACAGTTGTTAAAAAAAAATCTAATAACTTAGGAGCCATGAAAATGGCACAAAATTCAAATATCAGCGGCCACCACAGTGTTTATCGGAAGCCAGTCACGCTTGCTCATTTGCATATATGTTCCAGGCAGTGCGCATGCTCCAGTGGCAGGGTTCTGGTCCGCAAAAGGCCCCAAGAAGCTGAAAAGCCCACCAGCTCCTGCATCAGGGCAAAACCAGGTTCACATCTCCCCACCTGAGGGCAGGTCAGCTTCCAGAAGCTTCCAGGGACTTTGATACTAAGCAATTCTAGATGGGAACCCTGTGTGTTTTGGTGCATGTACGCGAGTTTTGGGTTTTATGGTTTTACCATTGGCCGTTTTTATTTTTGTTTTGTTTTTGTTTTTTTGTTTTGTTTTTTGTTTTTTTTTTGGTTTTTGAGTCAAGGCCTCGTACATCTCGGGTTAGTAGTAAACTCACTATGTAGCTGAGGGTGACCTTGAACTTCTCATCCCCTCCTGCCTGCATCTCTGCGTGCTGGAGTGTCGGGTGTGCACCGACGTGTTGCCTATGCCCCCTCTATCAACTGAGCAAAATCCCTAGCCCCTGGCATTAGTATGGACCAACCCATCTCTCATCCACAGTGTCCCCAGCTGCAGGTTCACTGTGGGGTAGGAGTTGGTCCGTGAGGTGAGACAGTCTCCATTCCCTCTGCTGACGTGATGTAGAAACTGAGACCCGGGGAGGAGAGAAGTTCTCAGGCCTGGTCCCCCAGCTGTTGGGAGCTAGTGGGAAGCCTGTAGGCATCTCGTTTCTTCCCTGGAACTGGGGCAGGGAGGGCCAGAGGCCTTTCCTAACCAGCTAAGCCCAGTCTGTCTCTCTGCAGGGAGGCAACCGGTCCTGAGCTTCCCAGGATCCTAGGTCGCCCCTCACATCTCTACAGGCTTCTAGACCCTGTACCCTGCTGGGGGATCTTGGCAGGCGCTCAGAGGCCCAGTCTCTTTTCCAGCTCACAGGTGAGGCGTGGCTTGAAGAAGCATTGGAGAAAGGTTGGAGGTGAAGGCTCAGGCCTGGGCTGGAAGATGAAGGCCTGGGACTCTGGGGACTTGGGGGCTGAAATGGGGGTGCTGAGACTCGAAGGAGACCCAAGGGGAGGACCACCTGCAAAGATACAAAATTGGGGCCCTTGGGAGGGGCTGTTTCTGCTTCTAAGGACCTCACCGTCCAAGTTAAGTCCCAGAAAATCTCTATAGCCAACACTCTGAAGTTAAACCAAGAAAGCTAAACCAAGGTGCAGGGGAGGGGACCACACCCACCTTCTCCTCTCAGACCCCACCCACCCTCCTTTTCTCTATGAGAATGAGTCTAAAGGGTTGCAGGACTTGCAGGCCTACATCGGCACCTCTGGAGCCAGCTTCCCTGCCTCCCAAACACAATAGACTTGAACACCTGCAGTTCCTTCTCACCCCAGGACCTTTGCACTGGCTGATCCCTTTTTTTTCTGGGAACACCGTATTCTGATCTATCTTCCTAAGCATCCATCTCCATCCCATAGGCCCTTGCCTCCTGCTAGCTCCTCGACCACATAGGGACAATCCCTAGTGGCCAGTCCCTGCCAAGAAGGGTCTCATTCCCTGCTGCACTCCAGCACACACAGTAGGAGGTCAGTCAATGTCCTTATGACAGGCCTGGCCACAGCTGAAGCCTGAAGCTACGGAAACAGATACACTGAAATGTCACACTGACGGGCCACTGGAGATGTGTCATCCCCACCCTCCCGGCCCTTGCGTGTCTAGACTCTTGTAACCCTGGAAGCTCTGGGTCCACACTGAAGCCCTGCTTGTGGCTCTTGAGAGATCAAAGCGTGGCTACATGCAGACGTATTTTTTTTTAACTAACTCGAGTTGAAATAGCTACAGGTGGTTAGTGGCCTCCAGGCTGGCCAGGAAGCTACAGGGAGGATGAAGATCCTATTGTCCCCAAAGCTAGCTGCCTGTAGAGGTCACTCAGGAAACCTAGAGGCCTCCTCAGTCCCCATCAGTGCCCCTTGAGGTCAAACACACCAAGAGCTCCTTGGTTCCCAAGAGGCAGGGCCTCACTGCACACTGCGCGTCCTGTGTGTCTCAGAGGCCGCCCAGTGATGTGGCAGAAACTCTCCACGGAGGTGACAAATCCCCCGGAAGAGGAGAGAGGGCCTGAGAGTGGGGACATCTTTAGCGTCAAGGTTACAGATGTACTACAGACACACCAGGACCACCATCAACAGCTATCACTCACACCAGGGGGCCACCAAGATGGCCAGCAACACCCCCCCACCCCGTCCCCAGTCAGAGGCCACTCCCAACATCACACCTAGTGGCACCTTCAATTTCAGACCATCAAGGATCTCCACAGTCCACGACACTTCAGCCTCTCATTGTTCCTAGGCCACTACCCCTCTCTCTTCCAGCATAGTCCCACCCCCACCTCAGACATCAACCAGCACTTCTGAGGCATTGTCAGCACCATCACCCCCCACCACCACCACCACCTTCACTTGCAGCCAGCTTGTCACCACAGCTCTAGACTCCCAGCTGTCTGGATTTTGATCCCAGTTCGGAGTGCAAATCACTCAGCTTGCTAAGGAGACTCAGTTTCTTTTGCCTGTAAAATGGCCCACTGGGAATCAACACAAATAAGACTTTCTGCCTGTGATTGATTGGCAGAGAGAAACCAAACAGCCCCATGGGTTTGGTAAGATGGTGTGTTAAAAGCACTGAGGGACTCAGGGCTGGGGGAAAAGGGGATCCACTTTTAAAGAAATCTTTACATAGCTTGGAGAGACAGCAATCTACCCACTTGCAGGTGAAGAAACTGAGGCTCAGAGCCTTGTGATTTGCTTATCTATTCCCCACCCACCCACCAATATAAGACATAGGACTGGAACCAACATGTTAACCTGGACCAGGTCACACTGTCTCTTTTCCCAGGAGAGGAAAGGACCCCCAGAGGCACAGATAACCCTTTCAGGGATTCTGGGAGGGGGGAATTGTTGCATCCCCGCTGTGAGGGCTGCTGGCCTGGCCTGTGGGAGGCTACTCACCTGTGTCTTGCCGGAATTGATGCATGGACTGTAGGTCGATGATGTAGGGCACCAGCTGGGCGTCCACCTGGCCAAGGACTACAGAGCCCCGGGCATCCTCCTTAAGAACATTCTCGATGTGGTGGCACACGGTGGCCGTGTAGGGTCGCCAGCGGCTGTGTTCATTGAGCCACTCCCACACCACCACCCGGGCCACGTTCTGCGGCGGGAAGCCCAGCCCGTTCACTGGCACCATCACACCTTGGCCTGGCCGTGACATGGCCTCTGCCGCCTGCGGGGCCAGGTCCCCACTGTTGCTGGCCCAGCTCCTCCTGGGCCTGGGAGCACCGGGGAAGCTTCGTCCTCCCTCTCCAGGGCGGGCGGCGAGGAGTGTGGCCTCTTTTCCAGCTGGGCTCCTCTCCAAGGCCTAGAGGCCTGGGTTAGGGGGATGGGTGGCCATCCAGACGCTGCGAGGACCCCTTCCCGCAGAGCGCAGCTGTTGCACACGGCGGTGCGCGGAAGGCAATGTCTGTCCTAGGTGGGGGACATGATCTCAGTTCCTTAGTCCCCTCGGTGCAGGTGCAGGAGTGAGGAGGCGCTTGCCCCTCTAGGTCCGGCCTGTCCCTGCTTCTCTCTCGTTCCTTCTGTCCGCCACGCAGGGCCTTGTCACCCAGGAGGCCCTGGCCCCAGCCTGCTGCTCCTTGCGCGCTCAGCTCCGCTTTCCAAATCCCGTGCCTCGCTTCGGGGTGACTCGGGTCCGCCCCTCCCGACGGGGCTCCCTGCACCCCTGTCCCTTCTCCTGGCCGGCCTGAGTGGTCGCAGATTGCCCAGGGAAGGGGGCGTAGTGTGGGGATCGCGGCTACCGAGCTGCAGCTGGGGGACCCCGGAGGGGCGGGGGCCGTGGGCACGCCCCACCCCACTGGTGTTCGCGACCTGCAGGGGCGACAAGAAGGGGAGAGGGCCCTTTAAGAAGAGAGCAGCCCCCTCCCCCTCCCAGGAGCCGCGGCAGAGAACAATGGGGCGCCGGTGGGGGGGAGGCAGGGAGGCTCGAGGGTCCGTGCCCTGCAGTCCCTGGGGTGCCCGGAGAAGAGCGGACACCGTACCCCAGACTGTCACCCGCAGTGGCCCGTGCTCTCGGCTGGAGCGCGTCCCCCGCCCCGGGCCGCGCGCTACCGGGGGCTGCGGTGTGGGATGCAGGGACGCGGGATGTGGGGATGCAGGATTCGGGGATGCGGAATGGAGGATGTGAGATGCAGGGATTCGAGTTCAAGATGCGGGATGTGGAGATGGATGGAGGGTGCCGGGTGCAGCTGGGACCTAGGTTTCCTCAGGGGTAGCGTCCCCAGGGGCAAAAGAGCTGCAGGTCGTTATGTCCCCGCCCGGTGGCATCTGCCCGTGGGCCCGCTGGAGCCAGGGATTTGGGGTCCCTACGCTGAGCACTCACCGTGATCTCCCCGCGCTGGCTCTTTCCCCGCTGGTTCCCAGGAGGGAGGGAGGGAGGGAGGGAAGGAGGGAGGGAGGGCACCGCTTTGCCCCAGCCCGGACCTCGCCCGCCGCCGGACAGACAGACAGACAGGAGGACGCAGTAATCCTGGCGCGCGGACGCGTCGGACGCGTCGCTGGGATCCCGCGGGTGGAGGCGGCCTCGGGGCGGGGCGGGTAGAGGAAGGGGAGGAGACCGATCCGCCCAGCCTCCGTGACACGCGAGTCACCGAGTCCCCGGCTGGGCCCACGAGGCATCGGAGCCAGTCAGGGAGACACTAACCCGATCTATGTTTAGGGGTTCTGGTTCCAATCTATCATCTTTGTATTTAGTGGCTATGCTAGGGCCTGGTACACAACAGGCGCTCAATAAATGCTTGAATGGATGAATCTGACTTAGAGACAGTCTTAAGGACTGCTCATAAGGCCTTCTGGGATGGCTACCCATCTCCTCACCGGAGTGAAAGGGGTCCAGAAGGCCCATTTCAGAGCCAAAAGGAGCTGGGAGGGCTCAGAAGGCCGACGGAAGCTCATAGAAGATGAGAACCAAGCCCTGCGAGGCTGGAGAGACAGCTCAGCCCTTAAGAGCACTGGCTGCTCTTCCAGAGGCCCAGGGGTTAATTCTCAGCACCCACGTGGCAGCTCATCCAGTTCCAGAGGATCGATTACCCTCATATAGAAACAAAACATTCAAAACACCAACCCACATAAAAATGCTAAAATAAAGAAAGCATTGAAAAAACAAAGAAAGAAAAGGATCAAGTCCAGCATCCCAGGAGCCTGGACAGCCACCTGACCTGTGTCCAGCTCTAGTTTGGCTGCAGGAACTGGTTAGTTAAACCATAACACTTTCCCTATAGTCACCGGGCCAGAGGGATGGCATTGGATGGCATTTATCTGTCACTGGGGGGTGGGGATGGGGGGAAGGGACTAGGCCTGGAGGCTGGTGGGAGGGAGGTAAGATCTTATACCACAAAGGTGATTACTTGGGTCAGCAGTTCAAGCGTTCATGGACAGTATGATAGGCCTTTTGGCTTCTGGCAAGCTGTAACACGGCATGGACTGACAGAGACCCCAGGGCCTGCTGTGTTTAGATTGGGACCGTGACCCAGGTGGCTGAGCAGGGTTAAGGGATCTGTTTGGAAGCCAGACCAGAGTGGCCCTTGCTTACTCCTCTGTTGGGATCTGGAGGGGGTCAGGGGAGCACGGTCAAGGGCAGGCTACACTAGGCTCATTCCCAGAACCAAACTGGGTCAACTGGAGTCTTTACCCTGCCCAGCTTTCCCCTCCCCATCCCCCGTCCTGCTGGCCCAGCTCCTGGACTCTTCCAGCTGGAGGTCAGTGAACTGTTTGAGGGCAGCCTTCAGGTCTGCAGGATAGCCTCCCACAAGATAGGGAAAGGCTGAGATTTTTAGTCCAGGGTCTTCAAAATGACTTCTTGGGTGGTGGTGGGGGAAGGGCATAAAAACCTACACCAAGGAGGCAGACTTGTGCGTTGATTTTTTTTTTTTTTGAGAAGAAAGCCATTCACAACTACATCCAGTCACTACTTAATGACCACCTTGTGATCGGTGGGAACCTGAGGTCCTGGGGTAAGGAAGTCATCAACTCAATTTAGTAGCAAAAACAAAAGAAGTATCCAGCCAGCTCCTCCCAGCAGCCTTTCTTGATTTCATCCATCTTCCTGCGTGACACCTTGTATCACGCCATCAGCTACTTAACCACTTACATGAAAACCAGCTCCTGCTTGAAAGGTCCCTAAAGGCTTCTACCGTGGTTCACCTCTGTGGCCCCTGAGGTCACTACATGATGGATTCTGTTTATTGAGTGTCCGTTCCATTCAGCCCCTGGAGGTAGGACTGTGTCCTCATTTTACCAGCAGGTAGCAAAACCTCTGGAAGCTCAGAGAAATTATGTGATTTGTCTGACTTCCCACAAGAATTAACAGGGCTGGGAGTTGACGCCCCAAAGCCTTTGCACTTTTCACGGCAACAGGCTTCCATGATGCTTGTTCAATGACTAATGGATGCAATCCGGCTGGATCTAGCACAGGGAGGTCTTTCATGGAGGACGGCTGAGAAGAACTGCAAGCAGTTAACAGCCCAGAGGGCCCGGTTCTCAGAGTCCCATCCCTGGGAGCATGTACTGGTCACTCTGTCCCTGTCGCACAGAACAGGGTGGATGCAGGCTTCTGGGCTTTTCTCAGCCCCTCTCTGTCTATCTAGAGCTGGGGCCAGCTCTTTTCTGTCCTTGTACGATTGCAAAAACTTTAAGGAGACAACAGGAAGTAGAGTGTAGACTGCTTTTATATCTTTGGGGCCCTTGGGGGTCAGGGAGCTTCCTGAGGCTATAGGGCTGGGTGTGGTGAAGGTGGATTAGAGGGACCCCAGAAGGGTGACTCGTGAGGCCCACCCTGTGACAAGGGGCCATTGTATTGATGACCTAGTGTCTAAGCTGTGGCTGATGTGTTTTCCCATCAAGAGGCCGAAGGCGTAGGGTGACAAGATACCCTAGTATTACCCTGAAATTCATGTGCAGTGTCCATCTGAATGCTGGTCTCCCACCCTCGAGAGCACCCGATCCTCCCCTGAGTTCTCAAAGATGATAAGAGTACACTCCTTGCCCTGGAAACTGATTTGCTTTTCTGGACTCAAGAGAGTGATGGCAAGGCAGTTTGAATCGGGAGTCACTGTATTGAGAGTTTTCCCGGCCTGTTTGGGGGCCATTCACGCATCCCTTGGCTAAAAAAACATTTATACCGAGTCCAGCAAGATGGCTCCGTGGGGAAGGACACTTTCTGCTAAGACCTGAATTCAATCCCTGGGGCCATTTGGAACAGCAGGGAGGTCAGCAGGCCCGAGTGGGGGTGTGGTCTCCTGTCCTGAAGATGATGGACCAGAGGAAAAGAATGGAACAGGCTGATGAGAGGAAAGAAGAAGACAGACACTCCTGGGTCCCCAGAAGGGTCCTGACCCAGAGTCTGCTTCCTTTTCAAATTATCTGACTCAGGACCCAGTTCTGTCAAGCCAGTGCTGGGTATGGGATGCAGGCAGTAACACGATGTTCTGAGTACATTCTGTGAACCAGGGGCTCTGTAAACTCTTTCGGGGTTCCAACCTCCCAGGAGGCATTGCGGCAGACTTCGCACACCCCAGGACCTGGCCATTGGACCGTGGATCTGGGGACATAGGTATGGATGGTTTTTGATAGGTGTCTCCTCTTCTTCATGGACCCCAGTCTCTCTACTCCACAGAGGCTGGACGAGCCCTCACCACCTCTCCCTCTGGCTGTGGGTGCCCTTGACCTAGGCTCCTTTCTCCATCGCAGAAGAGAAGGACCCACGGAAAGAACCAGGCAGACAGTTAATGTGACCTATATGTGCCCGAAGTTCGGTGCCCCTGGAGCTAAAAGAGTTGGTCCATCTGTGGAACACGGAGGCTGGCCAAGGAGAGGATAGCGCCGCATCCACCTGCAGGAACCCAGGACTTTCACCGCGGAACGAGATAGGAGCGGGTGCAGAGCGCCCCCTGGTGGCTAGAGTTTACTTCCTTGCTCTCCTGCTGGCGTGGCCGCCTTTTTAGGTAATCTACTTAAAAGGATTCTTATTGTGGCGAAAACGGGAAACCTAAGATTGCCCCATCTCGGTCACATTCGAGTTTAAAATTCATCAGCACTAAGTACGTTCCTGTTATGCAAATGACCCCCAGAGGCTTTGTCCTGCAGAAGTGAAGCCTTCGCTCTCTGTTCACTGATTATTTCATTCCCACCGTGGGGCATGCAGAACAGTGTCTATAGGGTAAATAAAGTGTCTCTTTGAGACCTTGGCTTCACTTTCGTTGGCTGTGCCCACCATCACTACAGCAGTCTCTAGGGTTACCTGCCAAATGGTGAGGCTTGGCTTTGGGCCTGTGTTTCCCTCAGAGAATTCCCAGAAAGGATTAACCCAGGTAAGAGACTTCCATTCCATGTGGACCATGGTTTCTTGTGTTCTCGTGACCGGGGCAGGAACAAGGGGAAAGAAAAAGCCATCCAAGTGCTGACCCTCTCCCCTCCTGGGCTTCCCACAATTAGCTGTTACACCCTGTCCTCATGATGAATGGGAGCTTTGGAAGCCCAGAGCCGGCATCCTGTGTCCCTCCCTCAGGCTGTGTCTGTCAAGTATTTCATCCCAGAGATGACCTAATGCTAAAACCTAATGCTAGAGGCTAGGCCATGCTCCCCTGAAATTTATAAGCTGAACGTTAGCCCTCAGTATGGCTGCGTTTGGGGACACAGTTCAAACCCAGCAGATGAATTAAGAGATCTGAGTCCTGAAACCTCAGTCTCTCTGTCTCTCTCTGTCTCTGTCTCTCTCAGTCTCCCTCTCTCCCCCCCTCTTTCTGTCTCGCTCTGTTTCTGTCTGTCTCTGTCTCTCTCCATCTCTCTCTCTCCAAGCTACATGATCATGTACATATAATTTTGGGGGAAAATTTCTAAGAGCAGATCCACACAGGATATCTACTTACCCAGAAGCATTCATCTCCCAATATCTTGACCACAGCAGGCTGAGCAGCTGGACACTATGACATGTGGCCTCCCTGTCATCTCTCGGCAGTCTCATTCACAGGTGGCCAGAGGAGCCCATGAAAAGCATCCAGACCCAGCAGCAGAAGGAAGAAAAGGTCCCACGTCACCCATCTCAGCCCAGATAAGGGAGGTCCAGCTGGCTCACGGGCTTATGGGAGATAATTTCCGGTGGCTGTAGGGCTTTTTCATGCAGTTAGAATTGATAAAGCAGGTAGGTGCATTACCTGGAAGCTTTGGGATACAATTTTTAAAAAAATTAAATCCTATTTGATGGGGGGGGTACGTGCGTCCTGGCATGTGTCTCCAGGTAAAAGTTGGTTTTCTCTTTCTACCATGCAGGTGCCAGGAATTGAAATCAGGTCCTTAGGCATGGTGACAATCACTGTTACGAGCTGGCCCAGGTTATTTTTAATGGGGAGTCTTAGGGAGGTCAGCAGTATCTTTGGTCCCGTAATGCTACAGACAATGGGAACTGCCTGTGTGTAATGCTCTCCCTTGGGCCCTTCGCTCTCTCTCAGACCCTCTGCTCTCCCTTCTTCCCTACTATCCTGTTCTTTCCTCCCTCCTTCCCTCCCTCCCAA